ATTCCAGCAATATCACGGCGGGGGACGCGAGAAAAGGGCTTCACACATTGTACCTATGTGGTTAATCGAACCTGGGTCTCCAGGGTGACGAGCGACGGGTTTAACCACCAGGCTGTCCCATCGCCCCTAGTATTAATGAAAATAACTACCTCACGAAACAAAAAACTATTGGCTACTGAGATGTCAACAGACAGAGAACAATGAACTGTACAACGCTACAACCCAAAACATGAAAAACTGAAATCCGGGCCCCGACAATCCACATCTTACAGTTACAGATAAACGAGTCAGGAGTGGCTTGAACAAGTATACCGCTAACAATCTCATTCAACTGTATTTTATACTGTTGTTGCATAGCATGCACATGTGATTAAACAAATCCTGACTTTAATGATACCTCATGCACAACAATGTAAAGGATATCTGCCATGTATTGACAACATGTACACAATCATTTTTCGGTCACAATCAAAACTCTTTTCAAAATATTTACAGTGGTCTTAAGAAAATAATCCCCCTAAAGCAGGTGTGTACCTTCTTTTGTATGTCAGTGTAACAACATGTGAATCGAACATTTCAAAACGCATAAAACACCAATTCATTTAAATATTGCATATAGTTTGATTACCAGTCATCAAATGTATTTGTCAAACACAAACATCAAGAATACAGTTGTTGACTGAGTACATCCCTGCAACCCCTGGATACAAATATACTCCAGGATACATTATGCAGGAAGGCTCTTTGAGGTATTGTGAGGTAGAAAACAAGTCTGTTACTATTTATGTATGAAATTAAGAAATATTCACCCAAAATATACTCAATATCCATGAAATTATGAAATACTCAAACAAAAAATCCTATTTATTCATGAAACTATGAAATATTCACCCCTAAAAGACAAACAAAAACAACTGTTATGGCATTAAATTCACTTAGTAATAATAATAATGTGTCCATTTATATAGCGCAAAACTCCACACCAGGTACGCTCATAACGCTAACAATGAATAGCACAGCACATAATTACCCTGGATAACCCAAGCTACTTGTTAGGCGCTAGAAGGCTAGAGTCACATGACTTATCCCACCGGTACCCATTTTCTGCTGGGTGAACATTATGAACAAACTTA